TCACTCGAATGAATTTTATTATTTCTTCAAGGTTCTTCACATACGTACACCGTAAGAGATATCAAGTAGGTGTAACATGTTCTCAAAAAATTAGGGTTGGCATGCAGAAGAATTTTGAGTCAGAGATTTTGCTGGTTTTGGCACGCACTCACAAAAAGGTTGCCCACCCCTGCCCTAGGCCATCTCATCACACCCATGGCTTCCAGCTCCACTGCCATCCCTACCCTGAGGACCTCCAGGTCTCCATCGCCAGTTTTCCCCTCTCCTCTGAGCTCCAGTCCGTCTGTCTAAATGCCTCCTGGACATCTTCTCTGGAATGTCTCAAGGCACCTCAGACTCAGCCTACCTGAGACTGAGAGTCCCCCTTCCAAGCCACATCCTTTCCTATGTTCCCGACTTCCCTCATCAGCACCATAGGCAGCCCAGGCAAGCCTGGAAAGCGAGGAGCCACCCTGGACCCCTTCTTCTCCCACCCCCACAGCCAGGCCACTCATAATTCTTGTCTGGCCTCCCCCCTCTCTCTCATGTCCACCTGCTCCTCTCCATCGTCTCAGCTGCCACCCCTCAGCTTCTTTCCATCCCAGCCACCCTCATGTCCCCTCTTGTCTGGACACTGCAGTGGCCTCCTCACTGGTTTCTCTGTTTCTTTCGTTCCTCCACCCCCATCCCTCCCCTACCCACTGTAGCCAGAGGGGTCTCTTCAGCACATTATCCAGCCCTGCCCTCCTCTCCAGCTTCATTTTGCCCTACTCTCCTCCTCACTCCCAGCATCACCACTTCAGTTCTTGGAAAGCACTATGTCCCTGCTAACCACAGGGCCTTTGCACAGCTGATTTCTTTACTTGGAGTTTTCTTTCCTCCCCCTTGGCCTAGCTAGTTCTTCCTCAGCCTCAGATCTCCGCTGGAAAGCCCCCCTAACTATTCTCAGAGAGTCACCACCACAGGCCTTTCCTATGAGTTGCTCATATCAGTACCAGATCATCCACACATGTGCATGGCGATTTGGTTAATGTCTGACTCGTGTGATGGACTGTGAGCGCCATGAGAGCAGGAACAGTGTTGCAGTGGTTCTCAACCTTCCTAATGCCACGACCCTGTAATACAGTTCCTCATGTTGTGGTGACCCCCAACCATAAAATTATTTTCGTTGCTACTTCATAACTGTAATTTTGCTACTGTTATGAATCGTAATATAAATATCTGATATGCAGAATGTATTTAAAGCGGTCGTGACCCACAGGTTGAGAACCGCTGGTTTAGTGTCTAACTCAGTGCCTGGTTATAGAAGGCCCTGGGCAAATATTAAAAGGATGGATGGATGATAAATAGATAGATGGGTGGATGGAGTACATATCAAAAGGAAATGAGACCTTTTCCCACATTTGATTTAGAAACAGGCACCCTGTATACAACACGAAGAGTGAACCCTAAAATAAACTGTGGCTTTAGTTAATAAGAATGTATCAGTGTCCGTTCATCAGTCGTAACAAAGTGCCACACTAATGGGAAACTGGGGAGCAGGAGAGAGGGAGGAGGGATTATACGGTAAGCATCTGCACTTTCCACTCATTTTTTCTATAAGCCTAAAGCTGTTTCAAAAAATAAAGCCTATTAATTTTAAAAAAATCCAGACACCCAGACTACAACTCAGACCAATTAAATCAGGGTGGGGCCTAGGCATCAGGAGTTTTTTAAAAACACTTTTACTGATTTTAGAGAGAGAGGAAGGGAAAGGGAAGAGAAACATTGATCCGTATGCACCCAGACTGGGGACCCAACCCACAACCTAAACATGTGCCCTGACTGGGAATCAAACCAGCAACCTTTCGGTGCACAGGACGCTGCCAACCCACTGAGCCACACCGGCCAGGGCAGAATCAGGACTTTTTAAAAGCTCCCTAGGGCCTAGGCGACGCTAGCAGGTAGCCAGGTTGACAACTACTGTTTAGGCTGAATTGGGAGGGGCAGACCACAGCGGGGAGCCCTCTCTCAGCTTTGGGGTGGGTTCCCCGAGGAGGTGGGTGGGTGTTGGCACAGATTGCCTAAAAGCAGGAGAGGAGCGCGCCTGAGGGCAAGGGGTTCTCTCCTGGGAAAGCTCTGGCACCTTGAGGCTGGTGCCCTGGACTCTGGGAGGCCAAGCCTGGAGTTTAACCAGCCCCTTCCTGTGTTCCGGTCCCGCATTGTTCTGGTTCCATTTCTTCAGCACAGACCAAAGGACTGCTGGGGTCAAAGGGCACGCAATGGCCAGTCGCATGAGCTGCGGCTAGAGCAAACAGTGACCAGTCCTGCCGGGCAGTAACAGGGGACACAGAGCCAGTGCCGAGAGCATCTGAGAGAGAAGGCAGGAGGGCTGCCTCCTGCACGCCCAGGAGTGTGGGGCAGAGGTCTTTGGAAAACTGAGGCGGTGGAAATCTGGGCCAGGCCGAGGAGCGGGAACAGAGATGTGCAGGCCCGAGAAGGAGCTCACAAGGGATCCGGTGGGGAGAATGGGGTTCCCAGAGGGAAGGCCCCCTTCTTGTGGTTCCACTGAGAGATGCTCTTCGATGGCCTTCACTGTGCTGGAGCCGTGAGTGGGCAGACAGAAGCTGTGAAAGTTCTAATTCCTGGCCCCGACGCCAGTCTTGTAGGAGGTGGACCAGACGCCGGACCACATGCCCAGGGTGCCTCTGGGGCTGTGGGCCAGGGAAGACTACCTGGAGGAGGTGACTTGGAGAGAGTGGGGGCCTAGGCAGTGGGGAAGGCAGGCAGAGGGACGACAAAGCCAGATGGGCCAATGACAAATTGGTCAGTCCAACCTGCATGGGGACTGATAGCTGCCCTGGGGGGCGAGCCAGGACCCAGACTTTATTCCCGAGTCATCCTAGCTGGAGAAACACTGTCCGAGACCCCAGAGGGCAGAGCCAGGTCTGTATGTGTATGGGGGACGGGGAGGGGACCAGGAGCAGGAAAGGGTCACTGAAGCTGCGGATGCCCAGGCCAGCAGGAGGCTGGGGCGGTGCAGGGACTGTCCTGCAGGTGAGACCAAAGGCAGGCCCCTTCCCTGGCTCTCCAGGGCCTCAGTTGGCCCCTCACGCCCAGGCCTGCTCCTTTGCCCGAGGAGAGGCTGTGTAGGTGGGCCAGCCTGTGTGTGTGGAGGGAGGGAGGGTGGGGAGTGTGGGAGGGGAGGGATGCCTCCGTAACCTGTGGGTGTCAGAGTGTCCCCTTGGGAAAATCGGAACCCTTGGTGGCCCTGACCGTCCCTCTCACCTCTCCCCCAGGCTGAGACCTCATAGGATCACAGTGGGTGGGGGGAGCAGAGAGCAGGCAAAGGGCCTGTGGCGTCTTCCAGAGAGAGCAGCGGGGCTGCTGGCAGGGGCCTCGGAGGCCAGGCTGAGCCCTGTTGGGAGCACAGGTTTCTGAGGGCTGGGTGTGCTCAGGTGAGACCAGGATCACCTGGCCGCTGGAGAGGGTGGGCTGGAGAGCTGAGGACCAAGGAGACCATGAGGAAGTGAGAGGTGGTGGGTCCCAGGTTGAGGGGCTGCCGTGGTGGGGAGCAAGTGGGTGCAAGAACCCACTCATCAGTTGTGGTGATTGGGGAGTCTCTGCCTCGCCGCCAGCACCCCTGCTGGAGAGACTTTCCCAGGAGGCCCAGGGAGCGGGCAGCAGTGGCTCTGGCCTCCATCTCTCAGATGGGAAAGCCGGTCGCCATGCCAGGCAGCCTCTGGCGCGGTCTCCTTCTGTTTGGTCTCCAGTGTCAACCAGCCGGAGCTCCACCGATGGGCAAACGCGGGGCCTGTGCCGAACCCGCGGCCCCTGAGACTGGTTCCGGGCAGCCCCAGGGCAGGACGTCCTTTGTCTTCCCTCGCTGAGTGCCCACTCTGTGCCAAGCACTGTGGCAGACGCTTGGCACAGGACTTGGTTTAACCTCAAAGAACCCTGAGGAGGTGCTATGATCCGCATTCGATCGATAAGGAAACTGAGACTCCTCCAAGGACTTGCCGAGGTCACACGACGATTAAATGGCAAAGCTGGACCCAAGTTCAAGGCTATCTGACCTCAACGATGACCCTTTTCATCGTGGCCATGAGGGCCCTGGGATCAGCCGGAAGCGGTGGCGTCCAAAAACCCCGGGCCGGTGCCCAAGACTAAGGGGGCACAGGGAGGACACGGGGCCCACGTCACAGAGCTCCTGTAAGGCTCCACTGGGACTCCTGCCACACGGGGAGTAGGCAGCCCTGAGGACCAGACCCCGGCGCCCCTGGGCCCCTGTGAGACAGGCCGGGTGCCCCATGAGCAGCCCATTGGCTCCCCAACACCGTGTTGTTCCCAGCAGGAGCCACAGGACTCGCTCAGCAGCCTGAGCCAACCCTCCTCCCTCCCTCTCCTCTCCTCCTTCCCCGCAGAGCCCCTCCCACCGCGGTCCTGCTCAGACCTTCCCAGAAATGCAAGCACAGCCAGCTGGCGAGAAAACACCCAGAAGCACAGAGTATACACGCAAAGCGCTGTTGTTTTAACTCAAGAAAGGGCTTTTAATGTTTTTAACTCACTTCCTGAGAAGTTAACTTTTAAAACACTCTTATGGAGTCTATTCATCACTTGTGCTACGTTCAGAAACGATGCCAACCCCAACCCACGGCGGCGGGGTCGGCACGCCATCCAGGCTGTGCCCTGGCCAACAATGCCAGGCTCACCTTGGAGCTCTGCCAGGGCAAGTCCGATGGACGTCGCCCCCTTGAGGCCCCACCCGCCAGGCCCCAGCGCAGAGATGCTCAACCAAAGCTTGCGGGTCGGTGACCGGCCTCCCACCAACTCTACGACCGTGTTCTTAAAAACAGTGCCGAATGTTTCCTAAGCCCTGGTTACGATGCCTTAGCGGAGAGGAGCCAGGGAGAAACGTGGACCCATTGATGACGGGCCACGTGCTGCTCATAGTCTTAAATAGACATAGAAACTATATTACAGATGCATGTGCCAGTGCAAGACATGCGAGTGTGCTGTGCAGCGGATGGGCACGCACATGCGTGTGTGCGGAGGCGCGACGGACACCCACAGGCACGGAGATGCGCAGGAGGGACCCCCCTCCGGCCCGGCCTCCCTCCCCTCTCGGCACAAGTCCTCTTGCGAGATGAAGCCCACGCCCGCCACTGTACCCGCTTGTTTGGCCCACGTTCTCAGGGGAGGTATCTGATGAGTCCTGCTTTGCTGTCCTTTGGAGGCCAGTCTCTTGAGCATTTGGTCAGCGAACATCACGCCATCAGAGTCCCAGAGAGATGTCTGCCCCAGCCTGGCCCGGTCGACACACACAGTCCAGCCCTCCAGCTCGGGGCAGGCTGGATGGTGACTGTCCTGGGGTGAGGCAGTGGCAGAAGGCCTGCCGCTCCATGGCTGCCTGCCAGCATGCACGCCCCACAAAGGCCCCACTCTAGGGCGGCCTTCACCGTGGGCAGTTTGTCCTTCAGCGTAGGAATGTGAGGGCAGCTTCTGGGGCCAGATGGGGAGGCCGGTGTAGGATTGGAGACTGGGTTCCAGTTACTTCAGCATCTGCAAGGCCATGGCCCTGTGAGTCCAGGGCTCTCAGGCCATGTCGGTCCCTGGTGCCTCTTCTGCCGCCATGGCTCTGAGGAGCCACAGAGGGAGTGATGCGGGCAGGGAAGACGTGGTGCTCCTGGCTCAGGTCTCTGCTGAGAGTTGAATTCAGCCCTTTCTTTGGCTAGTGCTGGGTGTGAAACACAATCCGGCAAGGTCAGTTCAGCTCACCTGGCTGCACGTAAGGGTGGGATGCACTAGGAACCGCCCACAGCTTCGGAGAGGTCATGTGCTGTTCCCAAGCAGGTCTGTGTAGCCCCTTGCCCCCATATAAAAAACAAAAGTAAAAGACAACAGAACGAGAATCTGAATTCTCCAATACTGGCCCCTGCCCCAGTGAGGCCCCGGAATACCCATCAAAGACTCAGAGACTCCATACCAGTGTTCTCAGCAGACTCAAGCTCTGGCAACGCCCCCCCAAGGTGGCAGGGTACCCCCCTCCATGTGCGTGGCAGCTGAGCCTGGCCTGCCCAGCCCCGGCGGGAGGTCTCTGCAGTGGTGGTAAGCCGGGCCTCCTCCTGCCATCTCGGTTTCTCGTCTCCTGCCTCTGGGCCTTGCCGATGAGCCATGTGGGGTTCCTAAGGCACCAAGCGTACCTACCTTCCCCACAATGTGGGTTCCACGGGGAGAGCCAAGACAAGGAGAAAGGCTCGAGGGAGCCCTGCCCACCAAACCCCAGATGACACACATTCCAATCCTGTCTCGGACACGCGCAGAGGTCATGCAGCATGACGGGGGGAGGGGAGCCAGGAGAGGGTCCACAGTCCCCAGCCCCCTGCTCGCAGGGGCGGCTGTCGGCATGAGTGCAGGGGCCTTTGGAGGCGCAGGATGAGCGTGTTGCTGGGTGGCCCTGGGCGCATGCAGGGGCTCAGGACGCAGCCTCGTCTTCTTGGACACCAGGGAGCTCCGGGCTCTTGATGCCTTCACCACACCCGTCTTTCCTGTTCAGGGGAACCAAGGGGCAGAGGGACCTCAGGGGTCAGAACGTACACTCAGAAAGGACACTCTCCCGCACACTCATAGGCATCCCAAGTTCGCCTTCCTGCGTTGTGGCCCCTTGCTGGTCTCCCTACCCCAAGTCTTGGCTTACAACACTCCATGGCTCCCTACTGCCCAGAGGTGAAGTCTGGAGCCTCACACGATCTGACTTGGCTGACCTCCCTGCGCCCTCGCAGGCCTTCCACGTAAGCCTCGATCAGCCACCACAGTCCTGAGCAGAGGGGCTTTGGTTTTACATTTTCTTCGTCTTGTGCAGGTAGAGTAACCCGTCGATCTTGGGATGATGTCACACGTTCAACAGCTTCCAGTATCTGATTCCCCCCTAAGACCTTTATTTTTAAAATGACCAATGAACGGATTTTGATATCTTAAAAAAGGACCAATTCCATTTAACTTGACTGTAGAGCTTCAACTATTATCCCAAAGCAAACAAAATAGAGTCAATCAAGGACAAATTTAAAACCTGCGTTTCAAAATTAAACTTGAGTCACAGGATTACTGAATTTTATAGCTGGAGAGTATTAGGCCCAGTACTTAATAAAGGGAACTGGCCTGTCTCCCCATTAACATGGCTATAAAAGGACAACGATTCCCTTCCTCACTTGCAGTCCAGCCCTGGGCGAGGCATAGATTAGATGGGTACAGGATGTCTTTAGCCTGTGACTGGCCTGTCCCACCACTAGGGGGCGCGGAGTCACAGGCACTGAGCTAGGGTGACCAGATGTCCAGGTTTGCTGGCATGGCTTTGGCTATGCATGTAGTCCTGGCATAGTTAGTAATAGCTTCCTCTTTCACTCTCAGCAGTGGCTGCATGGGACACTAAGTATGTGGTTCCCTGCACTAAGTCCAATTCCATCACCGAGGCCTGCAGACCTAGAGGAGCCAGAGAGGCCCCTCCCCAGGCCGGGCCAACTTACTGAAGAGACAAGGGAATGGGAAGTTCAGTGACACCGAGGCCCCTCCCAGACTCCACCCCTCACCCCTCGCTGACCAGAAAGTTTGTCAAGAGAAGGAAAAGAGGTTGGTATATGGACATCCTGAAGGGTAAGCAGCCTCTGGCAGGGCGCAGACACCAGCTTGTCCATGATGAGGGGACCCGGCACTTCTAAAGGGCCCACTCATGAGAGGGTGGCCTCACGGAGCCCTTGTCTGGGCCCCTGGACAGCACAACTGAACCGACTCCTTCCTGAGAGGCCGAGGTACCCGGACTGTGTCTGGCACCCTCTGGGGAGCACGCCTTCCCCACACAGCAGGCTGGAGACACAGCTCCTCCTCCCTGCAGCTCCCTCCCCCGGCCAGAGGAAGGCACTCGCGTCTCAGGGCCAAATGCGGGTCCAGGACCCTCGCCTGGCTTTCTGTCTGCAGGTCTGTGCGCAAACTCCAGACCTTGTTGGCATCCCCAACTGACTTTCATTTTATTTTAGTGGGAGAAGTGGACAAGCTGAAGACCAGGCTCTCGGAGGTTTGCAGAACTGCTTTTCTGACTTCTAGCAGGTGGTGACCGCACATGCCTGGTTCACAGTAGGGAGCCTTCAGCAAAGGAGGGTTCCTCTTCCCTGGCCCGGGCAGCTGGCCTGTCCATGCTCACTTGCTGATCGAGCGTTTACAGAGCGCTGACCAGGCACAGGGCCTCCGCAATGGCTGGAGGTAGCATGGGCCACTCAGGAAAGCAGCCAGCACTGCCCCACGCCGGGAAGTCGGCAGAAACGCCCTCCCTCCACAGCCAAGCCACCCTCCTATGAGGAGCAGACATGAGGCCTTGCTGCAAACCCTGCCATGGGCTGAGGAAAGAAGTGCAAACAGGCACCTCGGAGGCCCAGCTGAGTCTCCCCCTGAGGAGACAGAGGAAGCTAGGTAGACAGGGACTGGGACCGGGGAGGGGGTGGGGAGCAGGACCAGGGAACCCAGCTGGGCGGGAAGGAAAGGCACATGCCGGAGACAGGTATAGGTGTTACTAAGACAGGCAGCTTCCAAATAACCAATCACAAGAATATTGCTGAGGCAGAAGTCTTTGAAAGAACCAATCAGAAGCTAGCAAGCATGGATACAAAAGAGCGTGCACTCCTCTCCCCCGTCTCCAGCATGCGAGGCTCCTGGCTCCGGTGCCGTAAGCCACCTGGGACTCTGCACATGGGACTAATGGACTTTAATTAGCTTGGATGCTGAACTACACCCAACTGCAACATGGAACGGAAGCTCTGGACACTGGCCGGCTTTTGGAACCCCAGCTGTACCTTTTCCAGGACTGGCTTCTCTCAATAAACATTGCTTCCACTAACCCCTTCTGTCTGCGAATCCATTCTTCAGTTTTGTGAGACAACAAACTCAACTCAAACCCCACATTTTGGTTTCAGCTCAGCCTCACGGCCCAGTGACAGTGAGAGTGCGAGGACGTGCCCTCATCCCGCCCCACCCCACCCCAAGGGGTGCCCTGCAGGTCTCAGCCCACCGGTACTTACAACAGTAAGTTTCCTGGGACAGACATGGAGCGCTCTTCCTTCCGTGCTTGGGGCTCAAATGGGTTCCCAAAGGAACGCTTTCTCAGCATGGACTTCACCAGGATCTAGGAGGGCAGGTCAGTCAGCACGAGGAACACAGGCCCCCAGGCACCAGGCCCACTGGCAGCCTCTGCTCGGACTCCCTGGGGGGCAGCTGCTAGGTGGGCCGTGCTGAGTGGGCAGAGAAAGGAAGAGTATTCCCGCAGAGGGAAGGATGAGGGCACAGAGGACGATGGTTGAGGGTGAATTCCGGGAATTGGCAGGAAGCCGGTGCAACTGGTGCCTGGGGGGCTCAGAGGCCAGAAGGAGGCCTTGAGGGGCCTGGGATGTCCAGCTGAAAGTGGGGCTTTATCCTGAGGGCATGGGAAATGCCGCCTAGCTGAGGCGGGAAGGATGGGGTGAGGAGTGCTTGTGCCGGACAGCGCCGAGGAAGCTGTGCAGCGGCCTGAGGGGCCTGCCAGGAGAGACTGCTGCACCCTGGCTCTCCGACTCTGTCCCTCCTCCTGCCACAAGGACAGTTCCAGGAAAGCCAGCAGAACAGGGGCCTCTAGGAGCATCAGGGCTGGCCCACCAGGCGGCCTTCTCAACCCCCACAGGGCCCAGCAGAGAGCTAGTCTCAGGCGATGGCCACGCCCTCCTCCCAGGACCCCTCACCCTCTTACCACTGTGGTCCAGCTGGGGATGAGCTTGACCGAGTTCTTCACCTCTTCCTCGGTCACCTCCACCACGCTGCAGTGCTCCTCCTCTGAGGGGAGGGGCTCCTCCCCGTTCTTGGTCACCCACGGGTGCAACTGTGAGGTCGGGAGGACAGGGAGGGGTCAGACACCCAGTGAGCAAAGGCCTGTGGGCATGCCACCAACAATAGCCTTGAGGGAACCCAATGCCCACCAACCCACAAGTCCCGGGGTAGGGCTCTCCCCAGGAGAAACTGAGGCCTATGGTTCCCCCACCTTGATGTCTGGCACCCCAATTCTCCTTTCGGGATTCTTGTCTAGCATCTTCAGGATCAGGTCCTTGAGCTCCTCGCTGACCTTTGGCCTAAAGAGAGGAAGGAAGGAGATGAGGGGAGATGTTTGATGAGGATAATTTCCTTCCCACCTCTCCCTCCCCATCCTGCTTCAGGGGTTCCCTGATTAGCACCCCAGGGCAGAGACACACCCACCCCTCACTGCTCAGACAGCAGGGGGGCACCCCCAGGGATGCCCCCTGGAATAATGGAAAAGAGTCATTTTATAGGACACCATGACACCAGACGCTGCCACTCAGCGCCTTATCCTCTCCTCCACCTGGGAGGTGGCAGGAAAGATTCTCACATGATAGAGGGGACCGAGGCCCAGAGAGGTGAGCGGGTTAGCACATGGCTGCCCAGCAGAGTGCGGGCAGGGACGAGGGACTCAGGGGACGGGGGACCAGGACCGTCAGCCCCACATCAGCCTGGACTGTCTCTGCCCAAACTCTGGGTTTCTTTGCTACCATTCTTGGGGAGCCCATCCCTACAAGCCTGCAGAGAGGGAACCCACTCTTGGGACTGCTGGCCCTGGTGCCCTCTGCTGTCCTAGGTACTGAATCCTGGCTGGGAGGGCGCTGGCCTGGGAGGGGCCCTGCAGGAGCAGAGGCCCTGGAGACTGGCAATGGCAGGGAAGGGTGGGAATCCAAATGCCTGGTGCTGCAGGGCAAGGAGGCGGTGTGGTGGCAGGACCCAGACATCCTGGAATGCAGGGCCAGGGCGGGGCCTCTCCCCCTGGGCTCTGGGAAGCCTCGCAAACAGCTGAAGATATGGTGAGGTTCATTGTGCCTTATCAGGGTCAACCTGGCCTGACTGTGGTGGCTGCACTGGATGGAGGCTGACAGCAGGGAGACCCAGGCAGGCACCCAGGGGCAATGCAGCCAAGAGATGATAAGAGAGGACTTTAGAGGGCTTGGGGACCAGACAGGCAGTGGGCACGGGAGAGCAGAGGTCACTGAGGAAAACTCCTAGGTTGGCTTGTGACCTGCCTTGGGCACTTTGGGCAGATGGCAGGAGGGCCCTGAAGACTGAGGAGCCTTGGTAGCCAACGTCATTATCAGAAGAACCATGGATGAGCAGGGCGGCCTCTCTATACAGTCTCTCTGGGTGCAGAGACCTCAGTCACAAAGGAGGGGAGTGGAGGGGCTGGTTTCCAATCCCAGGCCCACTGATAACTTTCCCCCAGGACTCCACTTTTCCATCTGTGAAATGGGGCAGAACACTGGCATCTGGAAACCCCTGCCCATCTGTGGGGAGAGGGGCTGGAGGTTCCCCATGGGTCCAGGGTCTGCCTGGGGGTGGTGCCTGGGCCCCCCTGGAGGCCTTCTGGAAGGAGCAGTGTGAATGTGTGACATGGTCACCCTGCCCCACTCCCAGCCTCAGAGCTCCATCTGCACAGGGACCCATCCCACTCGATGTCTCAGAGGCCCTGAGCCAGTACCCCCTCCATCTGCTCAGGGCCCTCCAGAAACAGCACCCCCCACCCCCAGATCTGCAGGCGGGGGTGGGGCCTTCAAAGGGCAAAAGCTCTGCTAAAGGCCCGCCTTCCTGGGCGGACTACTCACTCCTCAGGAAACACCACGTCCTCATTCTTGATCTTCCTGTGCAGGGCCAGGATGTAGTCATCGATGAACGGGCACTGGGGTGAAGAAGATGAAGGATGTAGGCCCAGAGCCTTAACGAGTCCGACCCCATCTCTCTAGGACCCCTTAGTCGGGAGGAACTTCGTCTAACTCCTTCAGGGCCTGCCTGGCACACGGCAGGTGCTCAACGAACACTGACTGGCCAAATCAGTCATTGAGGAAACCGTGAGGCTGGGTGTACCCACCGGGTTACAGCTCCCGGCAGGGAGGCCTCCACTCTGAGGCCTGGGATCTGGGAACATGCTCACTGAGGCTCCCTCCTGCCCCTCAGTGCGGTCACTAGAGTGGGAGCACCTGGGGACAGGGATCTCGGCCAAGGCAGTGTCGGGTGTCCCCAAGGCCCAGCCTGACCCAGAGCAGGAGTCAAAACCGACTGGTTGAATGAATGACCGACCGAGTGAACGTGTGTAAATGAATGGCATCGAGGGACAGGACCCGGACTGAGCGCTCGGATGGAGCGGTAGCGACTCCACCATCCACACCTGCCCTCGGGGTGTCCGCTGTCCCAGGACGCCTGCACATGACTCCCCTCCCAAGGGGATAAGAGAAAAACAGAAAAAGCCTCTTTTCCCTCGGTCTTCTCTGAGAGCAGTGGCCCCTTTCAAATGTCACGTCACTTTAGCACACAGAGGAAAGGCCTGCTCCTGTCGGCCACCCTGGTTCGGCTGGGCCCAGCCCATGGCGCCAGCCCACCCAGCACTCACCTTCCCATAGACAAAGCAGTACAGTGTGACCCCCGTGGCCCACACATCCAAGGCCTAGAAAGAAAACAGCTCCCATCAGTCCCCCCAGAATGAACCAACACCCCTTGCCTGCCAGTTCCAGTGGGCTGTGGGAGAGGGCGTGCATGTAGTCACTCAGCAAACACTCCCAGGCCCTGGCTCCATGCCCGACCCTGTGCTGAGCCCTGGGGCACAGGGGTGACCAGAACAGGACCCTGGCCTTCAGGGATTCCAAGTTTCCTTGGAACAGGCCCAAACTAGATACATTTTCAACTCAACAGGTGCAAGCCTCTTGTACCTCTAGGTCACATTTGCTGTACCCATCACACAGAAGCGGCCGGAAACGATGGTGTATTGAACTTACACGCGCTAAACCAGCTCATCACCCCTCGTCCCAGTGATCCACTGGAGAAGCCACCATATACCTTCTTTCGGACCCCAGAGACAGCCCTGCCCGGGCCGAGGGCTAGTCCCGAACTCTCCCCAGCTCCCCCACGCTCTGGTTCTAGCATGCGCTCTCACTGTTTCCCCTTCTGGAACCCCACCTCCTCTCCTGGTATCTGCTTTATCTCGTATGGGAGTATATTCTCCACTCTCTACCTACATATTCTCGCTACAGATGCCTCATCTGAATCCAATCCAGGAACACAAACAAACGCAAACTGACATCATTCTACAAAGCAACAGGCCTGTTCTCTTCAAAATGTCAAGGTCAGGGGAGAGAGAGAAGCCAAGCTCTCCCAGATGAAAGGACACCGGGATGTGACAAGTGGATTAAGCAACGGGCTCTGGATCCGGCCCTGAACCAGAAGACAGGGCTCCGAGGACAGTATCGGGACAAGTGGTGAAATCTGAACAAGGCTGATTAGATAACAGTCTTTCATCAGTGATACAGTCCCTAATTTTGATCATTGTACTGAGGTTATATAAGAGAATGTCCTGTTTTTTGTTTGTTTTTTTAAAAAAATTTGCTGAGGTTTTTAACGATAAAGGAGGAGGAGGTCTCCAACTTAATTCTCCAATGGTTCAGAAGAATGTCATACTTATACATAAACACAGGGAGAGTGGTGAAAGGTACATAGGACAAAATGTCAGTAACTGGTGAATCTGGAGATATATATATGTATATATATTTCTTATATTTTTTTTCAGTAAATCTGGAATTATATCAAAATTGAAAATTAGCCCAGCTGGCATGGCTCAGTGGATTGAGTATCCTCCCATGCCAAGAGGTTGCTGGTTCGATTCCCAGGCAGGGCACATGCCCGGGTTGCAGACTCGATCCCCAGTGGGGGGCGTGCAGGAGGCAGCTGACGGATGTTCCCATCTCCTCTCC